GTTGATGCCTACTATAAATACCCGACAGGACGCCTATTGGTTGACCTGACCTGACCCGACCTGGCCTAAATGCACGAAGACATCTGTGGTCAAAACTTAGATAAAATTCGTGATCAGTACCCCGACAAGCTCCACAACATCCTCACTTTACGAAGTTCTGACAGGTCTCGATTTTCCTACTTTTTGGGTCATTGAGCCGACCTGGAAGGTCAATCAATGACCTAGCTAGGACCTTAACCTGCGCCGGGCGGGGGGGGGGGGTGTTTGAACACCCCCCCTGCGGTTTTTCGCAGATATCTCAAAACGTTTTTGTCACACCTGTTTGTGCATCTTTTCCGCACATGTTGTGAAAATTTCAGACCCAGGTCTCCTTAGGTCAGGTCACCAGGTCACGCCAAATGACCTCACCTCAGAAAAAATAAGAATGTTCGTCATAGCTACACCGATTGATCGATTGCCTTGAAACTTTCAGCGATTCATAAGAGCAACAGTATCTATAAAATGTATATCTCGGGGAATTTTGATATCGGTGACCTAAGGTCAGGTCCATTTTGCGGCATCTCCATTATAAGTCAATGGGAGAAAATTGAAAAGCGTCTGTTTTGCACGAACGCCATTCTAGACACTCTCAAACATCGAGATGTAGGTAAAATTGACACACTGAACCGGAAAATGGCAACTGTGACCCCTTGTTATATCCCCGAGGTCATCTCAGGTCACGAACAGAATCTAACAGTTTTTCGCTAATAACTTCTGATAGAGGCGTGCTAGAGCGCTGAAAACGCTTTAGATGTGTTCGGCTCGACGTTGCGGATCGACTGATATGCGACATGACCTTTTCCGGTCAGGTCATGACCTTGACCTGAGGTCAAATTTTCAAGTTGACCTTTCAAGGTCAAATTATAGTTCATTCGACGCGTCTCGACAAGAGGAACACGATGCTGGCAAAAGTAATGTCATGGCTCTTTTGAGTCAAAAGTTATCGCCGAAAAAAACGCTTTTCGTAAAAACGGCTATTTTTGGAGTTTTTGCCTTCTGGAGGCTAAACCGTTGACCTGAGGTCAAATCTGAGATATTATTCAGAAAGGCCTGTAAAAGGGCTATCGAATGCGCTTTTCCGCGGCGCTGTAGCTCTATCGGTTCCCGAGATAGCCGTTGGCAGTTTCCAAAATGTTCCAAAATGTTGTCAACATTTTACCTTTGGTGACCTCTGGTGACCTGACCTTTGACCTGACCCCAAAAATGACCGAAGTGTTCTCGTCCTTATTTTGGACATTCTTTCGATTGCCGCTTACTGCGTGTCGCTACGTGGCCCAGGAGCCGAGTTAGAAGGGAGTGTTCAGACACCCCCCCCCGGCCCGGCGTGGAATCTCAGAGCACCGGCCCGGCGCGGGTTAAAATCGCGTATCATCGGCTTCCTCTCGTCACGGGCAACACGCTCGTTTTTTCCGCGAAGCTCATGCTTGATCAGGGGCCGAACGACAAAGAGGGGTCCAACGAATTTCTCCCCCCCCCCCCATAAATTAGCGGCTGGCAAAACACCAATACGGGTGACGGTTAACTTCCTTGGCCATTGGGTGACTTAAGACTTTCAAAGGGTCAATGACAATTGTGTAGCAGATCAGAACCCGCTGTACCTTCTAGAATTGAAATTTTATGACCTTCCATGATCTCAAGAAACAACTGCCTAACAAGTCAACAGTTATTTCTGTCAATGTATGACATGTTTTATGGCAGATAAAAAAAAAATGATCGGCTCGAGGGTAAAATTGTGTCGTGATCCGACGTTTTTACATAATAATACCCGAAATACCCAAAGAGTCACGGAAAGGTATGACATTTCAGTGAGCTCGGTTGTGTATGCAATGGTGTCTGGTAGGGTGGGGGTAATCAGTTGGTGACATACCAGGGAAATAAGCTAAAATTAGAGTGCTCTATTTATTGCTCCTGCCCCATGTTGAAGAGATACCCCTAAAAGCGTGATCTTTTATCGGCCCTTACGCAGCAAGGCAGTACTTCTCAGGCCGGTGGATGGTATCAATAGAAAGAGAATGCGTCAAAGATTAACATGAATTAATTAAAATAACATTAAAATCTTAATTAAGCGTGGAAATTAGTCCCAAACTTAAGCTAATTATTGCTCCTACCTCGGCGACGGCGCTCCCCGCAGTCAGCGGAGAAGCTAAAATAAAAGCCACCATCCTCCTCCGTAAGTCAATTTTAGAGCGGCCGAGTGGGCCGATGCGGGGCCACCAAACTGAGGTGAGACGTGGCTAGCAATTGCGAACTGCCATAGAAATCAATATCTTAAGACGTACAATATGGGATGATTACTCTGAAGCAGGAGTGAAAGCATGAGTAGCTAGCAAGAAACAAAATGCATAGATTGGTTGAATTATGTACAATAGGCACAGCTCAGATGAAGCCATTTCTTTGATGTTGACATTTGACATAACCCTTCCTCTCCTCACCTACGACCAAGTACGTTGGCAGTTACCGGCATAGTTTTTTTTAGCACGAGTGTAATTCGCCATCGGACCGCAATGCATGTTGCTAGGCTGCTGCAATTACAACGAACATACGAATACTGCCTTCATTTGTAGACGTTTGTTTTTTAGGCGGTCTTTGACGTACAAGGGGGCATACCTGTCGACAACTTGAGTTTCTCCGAATTTCAAAAACTCCCAGAATTCCAATTCCTTATGCACTGTTGTAGGTACAGCTATGTTCACAAGTTTTCGTTTCCTCCTGCTCTAAAAAGGATGATATTTGTCGATTTCGTGCGTCGCTGATAGAAGGGTGCGTTTAATAATTAGGCCCAACGCTTTCTGCATCCGCGAGTACCTTGAAAAGGGAACAACAGTTTCCATTTATTACACTATGGGACAAGTGACAAAATGACCACTGCAACACGCATGAAACGGAGCTCATATTCCTAAAAATGTCTACAATCACTTCTTTTCTGACACTATTAGCAAATACCATCTCAAGTTAGGTGGTTGACAGACAGTCAATGGAGATCTGGGGAGACTGAGTGATGCCAATTCACAACTTAACTGATAATGAAGGCCGAGGGGAGAGAAACATGCAACATGCACAACTGACAACTTGACAAGTGACAAAACACTACCACTATTGCGCAGTGCACAACAAATTACAGCAGCCAGCCCAAAAATGCTTTTGGTGGCTAATTGCAAAACAAGTCACTAATAAATGTCTTAGTTGCAGCTGAACACTGCACAATGATCACACTGTTCACACATTGAGTGAGATGCCACAGGTGGTTTGAATCACACTTTGGTACAACTGCAAATCTGAAGTGTTGTCATGAGGTTCATGCCTCCATGATCACAGCACTGGTTGTGGTTGGCATAACACTTGTAGTCTGCAGAGTTCCACATAAACTGCAGACACCTCATCTGGTGGTCTTCATGTTGCTCAACTTCTTCAGGAGGCAAATGTCGACCACCCAGCGGAAGCATGGTCCTGCAGAAAAGAAAGGTAATGCATAAGGTACAAACATTATCTGCTGAAACAGCCCCTTCTGTTTGCTACTTTTAACATAACATAACAACATGTATTCCATGTATATTACATTTGTTGAAGTAAAATACTGCCGGCTATTTCAAAACCAGAAAATGAAATTATATTGTGGCATAATTCACATGCTCAGCTATCAGTATCAAATAATAAATTAATTTAAAATTAGGGATATTCTATATAACACATTCATAGAATGTTCTACTTCACGTCACACTCACAAGGACTCACAATCTTTCTGTTGGGTGTTTGATTGACACATTAACTAGGTTTGTCTTAGGTTTTATTATTGCAAAAAATTCATATTGCATTATTGTATCAAAATACTGCCAGCAATAACAAAACAAGAACATGAAATGTCAATGAGCAAGCCGCCTTTCCTAAAAATGGATTACTTTGAAAAGAATTTTAGTTTCTTTTAAGGAAAAGGAGAAATGATTATCAGGTTATTATCAAAAACCACTCAACCAGCAAGTGGCTGGGTGGTTTCACAGCAAACATCAAGGCAAAACATATGCTTACATTTATCTAACAATTGAGCCATTTGACTACACAAGGATATGTGAGCAAAATAAGAATCCAATCATCCAATGTTGACTTCCTTGCAAAGTTTATGCCTTATTTTATGAAAATGTGTCACTAGAATATGATACTTATCATCGAATATTATTTAATTTACGATTTATTTCGATCGGAACGCACATTGGGTCCCGCGCCATCTTCGTCGACGATAAATATGATCGTGTTTCATGAAGAGATAAGGGGTTTCAATGGTCTTTCAAAGCAATAATTTGATGCAAAAATTTGTAGGAAATAATATAAAGCTGGTTCAAATGGCCATCAACCATTTAAAACACCGAAAATACTCACAACTCCGTCCCGACGACCACGCAGCACCGCGCACGCCACACTACTGGTACAATGCCAAAACTGCCGTCACAGCAGAAATGTTTTTTTTCTCGATTGCAATTGTGGAATTATTTATTAAACAGAAGATTATCTTTCCGAAAAACCGACTGATTTCATACACAGATGCATGGAAAATAAAAAAATCCCGGTAAGTTTATTTGTATCGTTTTGTCGATTTTGACATGCTCCTAGTTTGCAGCCATATTTCGATATGTTCTACAGGGAGTTCAGAATTATTTCAGGACCAATCTTTTCCTCATTCATTTTCCCGTCGATCATGAAATTTTTAGAGCGGAACAATTAGTTTCCAGGCGGTCCGAGCGGTTTTCGTGAGAAGGGTGCAAAAATCGGCGTCATTTTTAGAGCCTCGACACCAGCTCAACACAGGACCCTATGGGAGACGGTGAAGTAGCGGGAGCAATAAATAGAGCGCTCTAATTTTAGCTTATTTCCCTGGTGTGTCACCGACTGTAATGGCCCTGCCTGGCGCCCGAAAAGGGGGCACGACCCCGGAGGGCCTGCCGACCACTGGCTTAGAGTTTAGAACTTACCTTGGCAATTATCAGTCACATTCAAAACCAATGTCTGCTGCATATGATGATAATGACCGGGAGGATATGATACTAATTTCACTTAGTCATCCAGCGAGTCCCAGCCACTTATCACCACGACACACTGACACAGCACTGGTATGCCAGCTTCTCGGTTAATGCCTAATCATAATGTCAACGTCAGCATGAGCAGCTACTTCAGAAACTGCTTCAGTATGCACAACAAAGCGCACACTTTCACAACTTTTATGCCTATAAGTATCAAACGGCCATCCATTTCACCAAATTCGTTCGCAACCCGCCCATTCTGCATGAAACCGCCCATAAACAAAAAGATTTTAATTTTTTAACAAGGTAGGTCAAGTTGATCAGCTGTTTGAAACAGTTAGTTTTGATGACGTCATAGAAATTTTGAAGACAAGAAACAATTGGAAAAAAATATATTTGTTCTGAACAAAAGGTATGGATAAAAAATTATAAATGAATATACAATTTACACATTGAGTAGCTTATATGTTTCGTTATTTATCTATTTTTTATTTCTATCTTTTCAATGCTCTTTGACTCATGGCGTACTCAAGCACGACGGATACCAGCTCGCACGTATCCGAACAGTCGTTTTTGTTTTGGAATTCAGTTGTTCCGCACAAAAGTAAAACCAGCCACACTAGAAGTGCTTAGACGCTTTGCAAGTCAACAGCATTTTGCATAATTTCATAATAATTACGTATCAAACACTGCAAAACAGTTTGACGTCACTAGACCGAAAACTAGCAGCAGAATCATAAAACAGAGTTGTATCTCTGCTGCGCTAGAATTGTAGCGTTTCAAGCCTATTACTCAGCTATTACCAGCTATTACTATCTTGCCGGGCCTTGATCTTGCCCAGATCTTGCCTATTACCGAGGTCAATGGTCAAGCCAAAAGAGCACCACGGTATATAGAGAACTAAGAGCACCTACCTTGACCTATAAGAAACGTTCAAGCCATGGGAAACGCAAACCATACTATACGCATTACGCAAGGCTGTGGTGACTATGCCAAGGCTTTGTAAGACTAGACGGTCCCATTCATTTGCAATTGCTTAATGCTAGTACATGCCTGCCAGCCGCCATGACTTCACCACTAGATTAATTACATTTTTTACGGCCGAGGGCCGTCCTCTCGCAACACCTCTCGACCAGGGGCGGCCGCTCAACGTCTTCCCTATCACCTACGCTATACACATTGGATATCGTTTGGAACTGTATTGTACGCTGCATGTTCCACCATACAAAACTCGGTCTCGGCCCCCGACCGAGCCAGGCACGCCAACACAATCAGACCAGCGGGCGCGCTCTGCCGTGGGACAAAGTCGTGGTGGTGGTGGAGCGACAGGCCCGCGCCGCACGTCCCACGCACAGAAAGACGAAAAATGGCCTCCACTGGCAGACGTTAGTTCACAACGTCACGGCCTCAGCCAACAAACGCGACCTGATGCGACCCGATACGCTCAAAATCCGCCCGAGCGGCGAGCAATCCCTGCCGCCCCTGACCTGGGAGCAGTCACAGAAATGCGCGGCATCAGTCCCGAAAACGTGTCGCAAATCAGTCCTCCGACTCCGCACACAACTATCCCTCTAGAAAAGGCCTTCAGACTAGCAGCAGCTAACGAGCGACAGGGTCGGGAACTTCTACCGAATCCTACCGTAACGAGCGGCAGGGGCGGGAACTTCTACCGGGCCCTACCGGTAATGCGTTGGCTCCAGTTTGTTTGCGAAGACTGGCGAGCGGGACGGCGGGAGGACCGGTTATTGCCGTGGATTTTTGTAACTGTTCCCACCTCCGCGTACAATGAGACCATCATGTGTATCGGTGCTGGGCGGCCCGTATCCCGCGGAGCCGACACGGCTCGGCGGAACGGCGCCGCCCGCACCCCGCTCACCGACACTCTCACTCTCACTCACACCGACCGCGGCTGGCGCTCACTCGCTCTGCACACCGTCTCTCACTCACTCCGTCTTCCTCTCGTTATTCGATTGGGACCGGGGCCCGGTGGGGGCCGGTTCGGACTACGTGCCAGGTTGGGACCATGGAGAACTCCTGCAGCTTCAGAGGCCCGGCCGGCCGGCTCACGGCGGCGGCGGCAGCGGCGTGGCGAGGGCTTTAGCCCAGCGACGGGAAGTCATTCTCGTCGTCCACTTTGGGAGCGTGTTGCTGCCGAGGGGCCGCACGGCCGCGGCCGCGGTACCCGCCACTGCCGCCGCCGCCGCGGTAGCCGCCGTAGCCACGGTAGCCGCGATCCTCGCCGTCATCGCTCGACTCCTGGCCACGACCGCCCCAGGAGCCTCCGCGGCCGCCGCGGTAGCCGCCCCGGCCGCGGTAGCCGCCCTCCTCGCTGTCGCCGTAGCCGCCGCGACCTCCACGGTAGCCACCACGGCCTCCGCGGTAGCCGCCCTCCTCGTTGTCGCCGTCGCGGAATCCGCCGCGCCCTCCGCGGTAACCGCCGCGGTAGCTTCCTCCTCCCTCCTCGCCGTCACGGAAACCGCCGCGCCCTCCGCGGTAACCGCCGCGGTAGCTTCCTCCTCCCTCCTCGCCGTCACGGAAACCGCCGCGCCCTCCGCGGTAGCCGCCACGGTAGCCTCCGCCCTCCTCGCCGTCACGGAAACCGCCGCGCCCTCCGCGGTAGCCGCCACGGTAGCCTCCGCCCTCCTCGCCGTCACGGAAACCGCCGCGGCCGCGCCCGCGTCCCCGTCCGCCGCCGCGCCGGCCGCCGTCGGAGAAGGTGAACTCAATGTCCTTAACGAAGTGCTTGGGTCGTCCGTGACGGACCTCTTCCTCCTCTTCCTGTCGGGAAAGGGAGAGGGAAAGTCAGTAAACGGACCCGGCGCACACTGTGACGAGGAGCGTTCAGAAATGATCGGGTAAGTGTTGCACAATACCATCGAGTAATGTGTTTAATTCGCGGAGAAGAAAAAAAAAGAAATTAACAAACACGTAGTCGTATAGAATCGTTAGGAACGGCGAACCAAGATAAAGGCCAGCACGGGAGAGAACTAATGAAGAAAAACAAACTAAAAGTTGACAAACACAAACATAATCTTCAGGTACGAGGGACCGGAGCCGAACGACAATATACGGAGCAGTGAGTCACGGGTGTCACCCCGTGGCGCAGTTGGTCGCCGGCGGACGGAAGCGACGGCCGGCCGGCCGTGGAAAGCGAGCCACGATAGCGGCGTGCACCGACCGCCGCATTCTGCCCGTTCAGCCATGCACGGACACTGCAGTCGGCAGGCTATCCAAGCTATGTGTCCTAAAATGTGTAACGAACTGTCTGTCTGTTTCTAGTGTATTACACTGTCTGCTTTCGCGTGAGATTCTAGACATAACGATGTAGTACACGATGTAGTGTAGGTAATGGATTTGAACTTTAAAACGCCGTAACTTAGACTTGAAACACCGAGGGTGAACGACGAGCGAATATCCTACCCAAACCATGGCCCACATACATTCGCACGTAGCCTGCGAAGCAAAACACCACGATTCTACTCTTACAGCACAAAACTGGATGCAAAAGTCTACCAAGAATCACAGGATTCCCAGTTTATCCAGTCCGGCACGATATCCTCCACCCAACCCTCTATCTCACCCGATAACAAAACATCGTATCATCATCCCATCCTACCACGTACCTCGTCATCGGCATCCTCTTCGTCGTCACTCTCCTCGTCCTCGCCGCGTTTCTTTTTCAGCTCGTACATGTTCTTCCACTGGGCAGTGTTCTCGCCCTCGCCGGCGCGGCGCAGCTGGAACTGCGGCTTGGAGCGGGGCTCCTGCTGGCGCTTCCACTCGTCGAGCGTCAGCTCCTGCGGGCCCTCCGGCTCGGCCGGCTCGGCGGGCTCCTCGGCTGCGGCGTCGGCCGGCGCGGACTGCGAGTCAGCGCCGGCGCCGGCGGCCGGGGTCGGGTCGTCTCCCCAGCCGGTGGAGGTAGGCTCCGGTTCGGCCGGCTGCTCGGCGGGCGCCTCCAGCGTGGCAGCTACCTCGTCCTGCACCGTGCCCCAGTTGCCGCGGCCGAAACCGTCGCGCTTGTCGTGCGCCCTCACGCCGCTGGAGATAGGGAGGGGAGGGGTCAGAGACGATAGGCAGCACAGAGACAGCACACCGGAGACGAACACTGAACAACACTACACGTAAATAACTACATGCATTACGCATGGTAGGTTTGGCTGTGACATTTCGTAACGCAAAATATTTCACATTGTATCAATGAGGGAAGACATAAAAAGTGAATTGCACTTTTGCAAGGATAAAGCTGAAATGATGAATCATATGAACAACAGCAGCCACATCCCTGCAAGCGATTCCCTATCACCCCTCCATGTCCATCAACCACGGCCTACCTGCGGTCGCTGCCCGAGTGGCGGTCGAACTCGCGGTACCCTCCGCGGCCGCGGCCCCGGCCTCGTCCACCGGGTCCGCCGCGACCGCGTCCACGGCCCCGCTCTCCTCCCTCGCCGAACCGCGGCGGGCCGCCCTCTCTGTAAATGAGAGAGGGACGTCAGATGGAGAGGGGGACGGCTACACACTCTAGCGGTACGGAAAAGACGGATAGCGGCGATCTGCCCTCTCTGTGAGATACGAGCGGGACGTCAGCTGGAGCGGGGACGGCTACATACATTAGCGGCACGGGAATGACGGATAGCCGGCGGAGCGCCCTCTCTGTGAGATACGAGCGGGACGTCAGATAGGTGGAGAGGACAGAGACGGCTGCCTGCTCTCGGGCCGGGACGTCATATGGAGAGGAAAGGGGAACGGTAACATAGACTGGCGGAAGGTGCAAACTGCACAGCGGCGAAATATGTACCCTAAAGTGGGGCTATTTGAGACAGTGGGGCTATTTGAGACAGTATTTAAAATAGCTATAAAATGAAGATTGTTTGATTTTTGTGTGATATTTTTGCTCAGGGAGGTGTGGAATCGAGCAGTAAATCGCCTGAGCAAAAAATTAAGCATAAATTTTAAGTGGTTTTTATTTTATAGCGATTTTAAATACTGTCTCAAATAGCCCCACTGTCTCAAATAGTCCCCACTGTCCCCATGACCAGTACCTTACGGTACTGGTCATGTGAGCAACTCAGCAAAGGCACGACAATATTGGTATCCAAGAGTTCATAGTTAGTATGTCCACACTCAGGACTGCATTGTGGAAATGTGGAGGTAAGGAACGCAAGAAAGTAAATTAGTTATACGACGTAGTGTTCCGCAATTGGATATCAGCCGCTGAATCATTGCGGGATATAATCATAGGAATCAACGCATCTGCTGAACCACACAACATTGACGACTTATCGAAGCATCGAAGCAGAATATGATCGAGCGACGGGCGTAAGTAAACAAGAACGATTACGTTAGGAACTTAACCCTATTCCTGGCGGGCTCCGCCGGGACAAGAAACTGGCGGGGGGGGGGCCGATTCGCCCCCCCCCCCTGAGATCTCGAGAACGAAGCAAGATAGCGACAAGCGGTAAACGGCATCGGATACGCATGGACAAGGTCTACAATTTTTACTTAGGTCATTTTCAGGTCAGGTCAAAGATGACGTCACAGGGGTCGAAAAAGTCAAAATGGCGGCGCTAGATATGGAGAGAGTTTTTCTCGAATAACTTTCTAATTAGTCAAGATAGGAACAAACTAAGGGCATCATCGTGATCCTCTCGTCAATCCACATCGAATGATATATATGTTGACCTCGAAAGGTCAAGGTCAAAGGTTGACCTCAGGTCACGTGACCTCGAGGTCATCATGTATATCATTCGATGCGTCTTGACGAGCTGAACACAATGAGACCATCCACGCGTCTGTATCTTGTTCCTGTACGGAGTTATTGGCCAAAAACCTTTGGTGACCTTTGATGACGTCACATGACCTCACAGCTGCCCAACAGCAAAACAGACCTCAAGGTAGTGAAGGTTGATCGTATATGAAGTCATGTATGGTATATGGGGCCATTCCGACCCGTTTTAGTGGTAAAAACAGGGAGTTGATTTTTCCCCCATTGACTTATAATGGGGAGGTCGCGAAACTGACCTGACCTTAGGTCACCGATATCAAAGTTCCGAGATATACAAATTGCACATACTGGTACCCTAACTAAAGCCTGAAGAGAAGAAATTGACCGGTCAAAAACTCTAGCTCTGGCGTGATTGCAAACTTTTCTGAGGTAGGGTCCCTCTGGTGACCTGACCTGAGGTCAGATCAACTCAAAATTTTCAGACATGTTGCGTAGAAGCCTTATAGGAAAAGTCAGAAAATTTGAGCTTCCTAGCTCAACGCGTTTGGGAGAAATAACCAAAAAACCTCAGGGGGGGGGCTCCTGAGGCCCCCCCCCCCCCCCCCGCCAGGAATAGGGTTAAATCAGTAACTGTAGAACACGTTTCAGTGAAACCCAAATCTACCAAACTTACAGGGTATTTCGAATCAATCCAAGTAAACTCGAAACGAACACTGTGTAGCATGCGACTCAACAGAAAATGCATAAGATGTCGGCTAAACACATTGTACAACACAAGACATTGCAGGATAGGATGGTAATTAAGCGTTAGTACACCGAAAACATTATTAGTATGCAACAAACAAGATGTGCAAACAAAGAATGTGCGTGCATCATGTCTATGACAAGCAACTTGCATGCATGGGCTCAAACAACTCCGATTATTTGACGGCTATGTCACGGTGATAGGTACTTGATAGGGAATGCCTGATGATGTCAGTATTCAAACCGCTACTATAGCAAAGTGCGAGTAGCTCAGTCAAACACGCTATGTAAGACGTAACTGAGGTCGTTTGAGGTGAGCAGCGTCTTTCGTCAATCTAGATGAATGTCATCGAGTCACTTAAGGCACAAATACGTTCAAAATAAGCCACCGAATCGAGTGACAAAGTAAATCGAATAATCACCAGTCCGTGGCTAGGTTGGAAGAGTATTGAAATTCCCGTGGTAAATGACCGGGCTCAAGTCGCCCCAGCGCCCGTTATGAGACTAATCGCTAATGAGGGGAATGGTAAGCAGTTGGTGGAAGCAGCCGCAGCTAGTTGACGGAAAATGAAGCTTGCTTAGAGGAAAGGTAACTTGAGCTACAAATATCCAATTCATGCAGAAATGCACACATGTAAGTAATCACTAAAAATACTTTAACAAATCACCTGTTTCCAGTTTTCTTCACGTCCCTTGATTGGCTTTGGAAAGACAGAGGGATAATCATTTAGAATTCAGAAGGTATTTTTACACATTTTCTATCCAACACCTCAGAGCATCAGATGGAATATAACTGTCTGATCAAAAAAAAATGGCAGTAAAATATCACTCAGTGTTGTATCTAAGATCAGACCTCATCTAATGTCATCTGCCACCAGGCCGCTCACCTGGCGTTGTCGGCCCGGCTGTCGTCCCAGTTGCGCCGGTTGTTGCGCTCCTCGCGGCTCTCGCCGGGCGGGCCGGAGCCGCCCCGTCGTGGCCCGCCTCGGCCACGCACCGCCTCGCTGCCGCCTGACGCCGCTGGGGGGAAAGATAGGGTCACAGGAAGCATCGACGACTGGGTCATCATGCTTCAGGATAATGAGGGAATGGAGAAATGACAGATATCTGTGGATCAAACTTCATGAATGGGACATCAGACTTAGTTGGTGGAGCTCCAAATTTACCAACAAAAAAGGTTGCTTAGTCAGTATGGTAGAAATGATGGGATGGATAGGTACTGTGAGCTGGGCAGATTGTGACCATGAAACATCCATTACATTCTGAGGGAAAATGAAAAAAAAATCATTCTGAAAAAGCATTTTGATTTCACTGCAAGCACAATATGCAATTGTGCACAATATGCAATATGCAATTGATTGAAGTCCTTTTACATGGAGAAAATCAAGAAGAGGCAGTGTGAAAGTAAAGCCTCTCTAGACAGGGTTGCAAACTACCATCACATAGTCCCTTGTCAACTCACCTTGTCCCAAAGTAATGTTTTTTTCCAGATTGCAAGAATTGCTAGGTTAACTTAATTAACTTTGACAAAATACTGATGAAAACATTAGATGGTTAAAAAAAACAGATGTGTGCATTTCATGACTCAGGACTATCACAGTGTCAGCAAAAATGTAGCACTGGCTCAGTTCCCATGGGTGCATGGTTACCAATCCCTTCCTGTTCTCTTCAACCAAAGCAAATTGCATTGTGCAATAAGTGAAAAGATATCATAGCACCTGCATAAATAGGTAAAGGTTAAAATTTAGTGATTTAATAAATTAAATAAGAAAAATAAGTAACAATACTTTGGATCAGAGGTAGGCACATAGGTATCAGCTCAGGCTGAAGAAGCATTAGTGGAAGAGACATCTCTGATATTTTAACAGACAACAGAACCATTATGTTTTAGCTTTCAGAAACAATGAAATGTCAAGAAATCAAAGTAAATGTCAAGATAAAATCCTAAGAAGATTTCAAGGCTAATTTTTTAATATTCTTACATTATTTGAAATCCTGAATCCAAAAGTGATACTGATACTTACATGTCTCACAAATAAAAGAAAAAAAAGATAATCAAACCTTACCTACAACCTACTACAACCTAACAACCTACCAACCTACAACCTAAAACACAAGGCCATATATAGGCCTACAAACCTTCAACCTAACCTGACCTTAAAGGGACCCTCCCACCTTAACATTAGATTTGAGTTGGGATAGCCAAAATGGGGTCCCTGGCTCACAATTACCGGTTTCGGCACTCACAACATCGAGAAATGCCTTAAATAGGAAATATTGAATTTCAAAATTGCAGCATTTTGATTCAGAGGGGCTAATGCTTAGGAATACCCCTCTGAATGTGTGACGTCAGCGCAGATATCCAACGATTTTTAAATGTTTGACTAAAACATTTTGTAGCACGTGGTGGTATATGCTATTTGCGCGCAACATCTGCCGCAAACGCCACACTTCTAAAATAAAGTCGCTAGAAACAGCGGAGATCCCAAAAAAGTAAACAAAAGTAAAAGTATAATATCTTGAAAACCGGTGAATATTTTTCGGTGAAATTTGGTAGACATTCGTTTTCGATCTTTCTGAACCGAGCGACATCACTTTCATGCCAATTCATAAACTTTTTTGAAGGTGGGAGGGTCCCTTTAAACCTAAGGTTGGTTGGTTGGTTGGTTTGGGTTAAGCACCACATCCAGTGGACCAAGGTGCTAACCGGAACTCTCACGCTGTTCCAAGCGGTCAGGTAGCGGCAATGCCACGTGCATTGCCCGGGAATCCCTTTAAACCTAAAATTTCTGCTGTTGCATACCTATTTGTATCATAGGCGTCACAATTGTAGTTCTGACCTTATCTTGACAATATACCGAAAATAACTGCTGAAAGCATGATTATAAAAATATCCAAAAGCAGCATCAGTATCAAAATTGTGAGGACAACCCTATTTGCAGTATTTCATGCAAGTTTTCAATGCCCTTTGAAGTTTCAATGCGAGTTGCGGCAAACACATTACACAACAATCGCATTGTGAAAAGCAAGAATAATGATTGAGTTATTGTACTTAACATACCTTGGCGTTGATCTGTTTTAGAGACATTTTCCTTTGCTGGTGGCTTCTTGGTGCCCTTCTCTGAAGAAGCTTTAGCACTTTTATTTTCCTTGCCGGGCACCTTCGCCTTTTTCTCTTCTTTTTCTTTCTTCACATTTTCCAATGTTTCAAACGGATCCGTCTCATCTTCTAAAAAGATGGAATACTTGTTGGTGACTCCTATGCCATAGGAGTTCTCCATTGTCCCTTCCCGGCCGCTTCCCCGAACCAATTCCCCCTTTACCACATGTAGGCCTCCCAATCCAAAATGGCGCAGCACAGTAACAGCACCAGCATGATTCACAACGATTTACAATAACAAACTGTTTGGTCAGATATGGTAGCAAAAGGGTCATTATTTGATGACGTCATTACCCATCCCATAAATCAAGATCTCGAACAAAATGCAATCACATTGAAATTGAAACAGCATGCTTGGTCTAAATAAATCATTTTTCCATTATTTACTCATTTTTACTGCCATGAGTCGATAACTGAAAAGATCCAAAAGATAAAGTTACGCCTTTGAGTTCATGGTGGCATATTTACGTCTGGACAACGAGTTGCGGGGAAAAGTGCTGATTTTGTCGCAGTTTTAGGATCCGGTGATTAGGCTGGATTTTTAGGTTACTTTTTCGTTCCGATTCCTGTATTTCATAGTGTTTAGCTTTTAAATATTTCAGTTCTCTCAGGAAAATATTACTTGCCTAATAGATTTGGTTAAATTGTTTCATTTTTATAAGCCGACCGCTAGAGTCATAAAACAATACATCAGCACTACAATTATTGTAAACAAACAAATGGAGCACCGCGTGGTTCCGTTCCAAGGCCTTTTTCAAGTTCATCTGGTGTTTTCGTACTCGTGTACGTCGTGCATATTTACGTCTGGACAACGAGTTGCGGGGAAAAGTGCTGATTTTGTCGCAGTTTTAGGATCCGGTGATTAGGCTGGATTTTTAGGTTACTTTTTCGTTCCGATTCCTGTATTTCATAGTGTTTAGCTTTTAAATATTTCAGTTCTCTCAGGAAAATATTACTTGCCTAATAGATTTGGTTAAATTGTTTCATTTTTATAAGCCGACCGCTAGAGTCATAAAACAATACATCAGCACTACAATTATTGTAAACAAACAAATGGAGCACCGCGTGGTTCCGTTCCAAGGCCTTTTTCAAGTTCATCTGGTGTTTTCGTACTCGTGTACGTCGTTTTGTTGGAAGTTTCGGATCCCTTGTGATTGAATTATATCATATTAAAGAAACATGTTGACTGAAAACAATTCCAAGTATCCAGGAGGCTAAGGCTCCAGACTCCAGAGTCCTGACTCTTGAGCCCTGAGCAATATCAAGTTGAATTTAGGAAATGTTGGTTGATAAACGCAAGTTGGTCTGGCTCACTTATCAGCAAGAAAAAGTAAAATTGAAAGAGCTTATTGGCCAAAAACAAGGTATACTATTGCAGGAGATCAATACTGATACTGATCGAAGAGCACGCTGAGCAATATCAAGCCAGAAAATGCTGGCTGATGAACGCATATTGATGTATTGGTGTGAATATTGAATTATAACTTAAAACAGCAAGATTAATTTGTGCTAACTATCAAGTGAAAAATCTAGAATGAATGAACTCGGGCAGCTTTACTTTGCAGAATGGTAATGTCGTAATGTGCATTACTCAGTGTCTGGCAAATGAAACACACAATCATTCCATTGCTACTGGAGGAGACAGCTTGCTGCTTGGATCACTTAATCAGCTTAATGTTTACTTTGATGTTCATCATTACTTTGCATTTCTTGAAAAAAGGATATAAGAAGAATTGTCAATATGACATACAATCCATGCAACAATGTGATCGTATGATGTGTTCATAGTCATGAGTGATTATTGGTCCAATATACAATAGCAAAGCTGTCAGCATTTCTTTCTGTGGATGGCCAGAAATGACTCAGAACTTAGAAGTATTAGTTTTCTTCACAGGGCTTGGGTAAAAAGTAGGCACTGAGGGTAATCTTCCAGCAAGGAGCTTTATAGTTTATTTTGACTTGGTATGAGATGTAGGCACAAGTAGGTACTAGGTAGGTACTTATTCATATAGCTATTAGCTAGTAGTTGTGTAGGTTTAGTTGGGTGCTCTGAGATTAGGTTGTTAGTTTTTAAATTGCCTAGTGTCCATAAAAATGTGACCTGAGGGCTGATCATACCTGACTAACCTGACCTAACCTCCACTGGCGGATCCAGGGGGGGCCACGGGGGCCATGGCCCCCCCCAAAGGCCTAAAGTGGCCTGTTTGGCCCCCCCCAAAACGCCAGAAAAATTGCTAAGAAAATATACCTTGATGGAGGTTTTTAGCCACTTGGTGAAGTAAAGCTTTCCACAGCATAATATGGAAGCAATATAGTAGCAGTGAGGGTCAGTCAAAAGTTGCGCGAGCGGAGTCGACCTTAAAAAAAAGACTGTTGTTGGCACGTGTTTATGGCGCGGCAGCTGGTAGTTGGCGGTGTTTCGCGTGGTGTGGCATCACTGGCGGATCTGGGGGGGGGGAGGGGGGGGGGGGCACGGGAGCCTGAGGTGCCCCTGACAGGCCCGTGGTGCCCTTGCTTATAGGCCTGTGGTGCCCCTGGACCCTGGCAGGCCTGTGGTACAGTCCACAGCAGAAGTAATGTGGGGTTTCAGTCATGGGTATGTTCTGCTTCTGAAGCTTAGGAACGATTAGCCAGACTACAATGAATCTTTGAATGTAGCTTATATGTATCGTCACCCTTGCAGCTGCAACTTTAGCTATTGACATCTTCTTTTCAATCACTTCGCATTAAACAATCGCCAGTCAAAGCCAACCGTTGAGTTTGGTAAAACCCTACATTACTTTAGCGGTGGGCTGTACCTCTGGCGGGCCTAGGGTGCCCCTGCTAGGCTGCTGATGCCCCTGGGACCTGACAGGACTGTGGTGCCCCTGACAAGCCTAAAGTGCCCCCAACAGGCCCGTGATGCCCCCGACAGGCCCAAGGTGCCCCTGCGTGATGCCGTGATCCCTGCGAGGCCGGTGGTGCCCCCTGCGAGGCCGGTGGGGCCCCTGACAGGCCCATGGTGCCCCTGCTAGACCGGTGGTGCCCCTGGCAGGCCTGTGGTGCCCCTGCTAGGCCGCTGGTGCCCCTGGGCCCTGACAGGACTGTGGTGCCCCTGACAGGCCCAAGGTGCCCCTGCAAGGCCGGTGGTGCCCCTGTAAGGCCTGTGGTACCCCTGCTAGGCCTCTGGTGTCCCTGACAGGCCCATGGTGCCCCTGCGAGGCCGGCGGCGCCCCTGGCAGGTCTCTGGTGTCCCTGACAGACCTGGGGTGCCCCTGACAAGCCTGTGGGGCCCCTCACAGGCCCGTGGTGCCCTTGCTAGGCCTGTGGTGCCCCTGGCGGGCTGGTGGTGCCCCTACTAGGCCGGTGGTGCCCCTGACAGGCCTGTGGTGCCCCCGGGCACCAAGGGGGTCATGACCCATGTGGCCCCCCTTGGATCTGCCACTGATGCATAATATATTGATTTGTAAAGGCGTTATGGCTTATGCAATATGCAATTGCAGGCACTTGGTATCCCTCACTTATCCCTCATTGGGGCTCTGGCGGGCTCCTGAGGGCCCACGTCTATCTCCGGGAGCCCATATAGACAGGCTCCTTTGGGTCCTTTCAGTACACTATAGCATAAGAGGTCTCCATGCGAGTCCTATAACATACATACATCTGAGGGCGTACCCTGATGTCTGAGGTACCCAACTGCAGCTCCAATGGTCTCTTCTTACACTGGCGGATCCAGGGAGGGGGCATTTAGGGCCATGCCCCCTTCCCAGAGGCCTAAAGTGGCCCGTTTTCCCCCTCCCCCAAACGATAATGAAACATAGTTCAATCAGGGCGTGGCCCAGGAGCCGAGTTAGACAGGGCTGTTTTACCACCTCCCGGCCCGCAAAGGGACCCAAGCACTGACTCGAAGCGGGTTAAAGAGACCCTCCCACCTTCAAAAAAGTTAATGAATTGGCATGAAAGTGATGTCGCTAGGTTCAGAAAGGGCGAAAACGAATATCAACCAAATTTTATCGAAAAATATTCACCGGTTTTCAAGAGATTAGACTTTTATTTTTGTTTACTTTTTGGGATATCCGCTGCTGTTCCTAGCGACTTTATTTGAAAGTGCAAAGCAGCCTATAGGGGAAGTTGGGGGAACGCCGAATACTTTTTTTCTGACGCCTGTAGCACGCAAGGTAGACAACATAAGCTATTCTTGTTGGCGTCATTCGAGAGGCCAGTCTTTTGTCTTTCAAACATACCAGGCGCATTTGATGAATTCGCATACCGTTAAGCGCAAAAACTAAAAATGTCAAAGAGCTGACTTTTTCGGCGTTGCCCCGGACTGCGGGGAAAGCCGAAAATGGGATAAATGATCTACGAGGAATGCCGACATTGATGTTTTGCCAATTTATCTCAAACTTTATCCAAAACTCATCAAAGCTGACACGCGTTTTAAGAGGTTGAGGACGCTTGGTGCACACTTGAAGCTATAATTGTGTGATATAATAAGAAAATGCCAGGTAAATCATTCCTTATAGGTAACAGGCCGTTGTGCCGGCTGAAAGTGTAATTTGTTTGACTAAAAATACGCGTTGCTATTCTACAGCAGTAAAGTCCACGTAGCGTGCTTTAACGTGCGTAATTGCACGTTTTCGGCATTACCCCAGCCAGCCATACTTTCATTTGCAGGCCCATAACTTTTAAACTTGCTGTATAAATTTCAAATAGGCAGCACACTTATGCAAAGACATGCTGAAGATTACTTGACCGAATTGGCCAGACAAACGGTAGCATAATGAGTAAGAAATGTGGCTTCAAAGGCGCATGTAGTACAGGGGAAACGTACCTTGAAAACGCTTTTGGCGCCCTCACAGCCGAAGTATTCCAAATGACGACTCGTAACAAACATGCGATAATTGTAGTCACTTAAGCTTCAGAGCATCACTGAGACGTGGCATCCATGTCGTACGGTTTTAGAAATATCTCGACTTTCGGCTTTGCCCCAACTCCGGCATTGCCCCAACTTCCCCTACCACCGCATGCTACCAAACGTTTTAGTAAAATATTAAAAAATCATTAGATCTCCGCTGACGTCACACATTCAGAGGGGTATCCAAAAGCATTAGCCCCTCTGAATCAAAATGCTGCAATTTTGAAATTCAATATTTCCGATTTAAGGCATTTCTCGATGTTGTGAGTGCGTGCCGAAACCGGTAATTGTGAGCCAGGGACCCCATTTTGGCTATCTCAGCTCAAATCTAATGTTAAGGTGGGAGGGTCCCTTTAACTGGTCGATAAAAACAATGGTAAGTGTTTACAAAGTAATATAAAGGCATGGGTCGGGTGGGCTACCATTTATATATTTTTCTTTTTAGTTAAAAAAATTCATAGTGTCAGGGCTGTGACGAAAAATAAGTGGCCTAAATCCGATGAGAAAACAGGATTTGGGGGTACCCTAGGTTTGGCTCCTGCATGAGTTGGCCCCCCCCAAAACGCAAGCCTGGATCCGCCAGTGCTAACCTCAATCATCATTCATCACACATATGACATATTTGCAACCTACCCAAGACCTGCATAGCAGTAGCACTCAGTTATAGGTAGGTACTTACTCACCCTAGCTCCATCTCACCTGCTAACCTTCAACTTGCCAACAGTTAGCTCACTTTGCCAAGCTGTATCCAACTATCCAGGGAAACAGTCAAATGAGGAACTGGCTTATTGGGTGGCTGGTGAGAGTCTGTGCATTAAAAGTGTCTCTTCTCTGAAGCTGCTCAGCACTACAGTGTGTGCCATGTTAGATGCTCAGAAAAATGTGGGAAATGATAACTAGGCTACTTTAGTGCTTTGTTCATGCTCAAGACATCAACAAGTACAAATCCTGTGGGGTAAAGCTATGAGCTGGGTGAGTAATGAGTATGTCAGGTGAGTGTGCTGTTGGACTGTAGTAAATATACAAACAAACACAGGGTCACAGTTATATTCAATCTCCCACAAAAACATACAACAAAAACGCCCATAGCCTCACTCCGAGCACACAACAAATAGCTAAGCCTTGCAGTCACAAAAACGCTTTGATTTACAGGATAGGTATACAATATATCCTCTGTCCTTGGGAATCTTCCTGCCAAGTTGAAGTAACATGACTGAACTTCAGGATTGATCAACCTTTTCTTCTTAGTCACAGCTTATGTACGAGAAAGACTAAATGCTTGGTTGATTAACTGCCTTGAAAATTTTATGATCCATCTTCAATTCTGACATGAAGGCACAAAGAAAATAGTTCCCTCTCCTCTTGGAATACACAAAACAAATATGTAACATTTAATGACTTCTTAGTGGATGGACAAGAGCAATTATCATAGCTTCCCCTCAAGTTAACGTCTGGCACTGATGAACTACACTGACACCTCTGATCCAAGATAAACTTGAAATGTGTACAGTGGGTCTATTTAAGATCTCCAGAGCCACCACGTGGCGCTACGGTCGGGGTAGGGCGAGTCCAAATCCCGAGGGAAGTGAGGTCACCGGTCATTGTGGGGGAAGGAGGAAGGGGGAGTGACGCGGTATCACGGCGCATGGGGCGTGCGTAGCGCCGGGAGTGGGCCGCCCAGGGCCGCCCGCCACTGCGCCGAGGCTGAGGGGAGGGGATGATGGTTGCGGGTGCGTTCACTCCGGTATGGTGGTATCCTGTTCATGTGTAACCAGCAAGAATGCGACTGAAGGGAATCATTATCTCAAACGAACGGGCAAGCGAGAGGCAGCGCCAGTTCCAGCCAAAATCTTGAACAATATAATTGAAATCTAGGAGTATTAATAGCATGCAACTATTCAGTCGATAGTTGCATGATGTCTTATGACATCATG